GTGTTTGATGCAGATTCACACGATGCTGGGCCGCGAGTGTTAGATGCAGATTCTCACGATGCTGGGCTGCGAGACCTGAAACCTCTCATTTATTTAACATTATTTAATTTATTTCATATCTTTCGGGGATTTCAGTCCGTATCCCATAAACCTCGAAGCAGCAGGCTTTTATGGGTTTGGTAGTTTGTTATTTAAAGCTGTACAGTCCATGGCAGATTTACACACTTATCCTTATTCACTAACAACACAAATAACGTTAGTTTTTTCCCTCGTTAATTAACACCACAGTGCCCGTACCACAGTGCCCGTACCACAGAGCGTAGCTTCATTTATTTTCATTTTTTTTATGAATGAATTAAATCAATGACATGTGCAAGTTGGACATATACTACATATATGGAACAACTTTCACATCCGTAACGTGGGAGATTTTTTCCATCTTAGGCTGAAATTATTTTTCCAGTTTAGCTATATTAGATTTTAATTCTGACTCACTTACCTTGAAATACATTTAGCAGGTAGGTTCACTGTTTAGCTAATAATTCTCATTAATTAAAAATAAAAACATTGTGTCCAGAAGTTAAATAAGGAACCTGCCAAGCCAAGGCAGCAATGGATAACTAACAAATACAATGTAGAAAAACAGAAGAAGGGTCCCTGAGTGACTGAAAACAGATGCTAAACTGAGCAGAATCATTTCCAGCGATATCCATGCTGGAGGTAGCAAAATGAAATCAAGCACTAAAAATCAATAGAAAGAGGAAAGAAATGGAGATTACAGCTTCTCAGTGCTAATGCATTTACTTTAAGGAAAGCCTTTTAAAGGTGCATTCCAGTTTATTCAATCAGCCTTTTTAATAAAATTCTGCGTAACATCCATCTTATCTTTTCCAATCTGCTAATTTATACGAAAAATGAAGAAGTCTGGTAAAACAACATGCGCTCTAGATTAACATGGATCAGAAATAATCTTTTACTCCACGACGTATCGGCAAGACGCTCCTTCATACGTGTCAGGGAATTATGTAAACGTGTATTTTCTGCTGTATTTCAGTGAAAAATGTTGTAAAAAATATTTATTATATCAACTTATTTTACAAAGGACACAGCAGGCTTCACTGTGAGATGAATAAAGTACTTAAGAGTAGGAAGCAGGCCTATCCTATTAAATATGTAGTCCCTTACAGGAAGAAAGACGTCTGTCCTGTAGCCCGTGTACAAGCGTAGCTAAGGGGATCGGGCCTTTACATTGCCAGGAGACAGGCATATAGTGACTTGGGTGTGTGGGATTGGTTAAACAATAACATTGTGGGTGGAGTTACCAGGCCATATATAAAGTGGCCATTTTAGGTTAAAGGGACATTTTAATTAAGCTGCACGTACTTGTTGTTGTGACAGTTTTTTGTGTAGTGTTTTCCTTTTGTCCCCTTTGCAGGTTTTCTCAGCTCAGGATGGAAGATTGGCTAGCAGGAGTCAGGGCAACTGTGCAGGAGAGAGGCGTTGAGTGGCTGCAGGGCCGTTTAGGTGATGCTTTGCCAGCGCTGAGGCCTGCTCGGAGAACCAGGCCCCCTCAGAGATTGTGCTCTAGCACGGTGCCTGGTACGAGGTGACAGCGGAGCCCATCTGGAGACCCTGGCAGTGTTGGTGAGGATGTTGACTTCAAAACCGGGAGTGTAGGAGTTCGTAGGTAGGCATCGGCGTGCGGCCGCACATTCGCGTAATAGCAACAGGAATGAGGCTCTGACTGAACGGTCGGCCCGCGAACAGGAGGATTCCCTTTTGACTGCACGTTCGGGCCGCGAACCAGGAGATATGGGAACTACCAAATGTTTGGGCTGCGAACTTAGAGGTATGAAAACTACCGAATGTTCGGGCCACAAACCTACAGGTACAAAAACTACCTAACATTCTGTTCGCGAATGCGGCCTTTCGCATGCAGCTGAGCGTTTGGGAGGTGACTATCTTGTTTCAGATGCAGCTGGGCATTCGCAGAAGGGCTGCACCGTTCGGGCCAGAGACCTATTCGCAGGAATGAGGCAGGACGAATGGCAGGCTTTGCAGCAGGATCTAGTAACGTTGGAAGTGCTACTTGGAGTGGAAGAGCGGAGACATCACCGTTGCTCCAACTTTTGCTAGCCCAAGGGTTTCCCCGGAGGTCGGCCCCAGTACAGGTTTGGTTGGCAGAAGGAGGGTGGCAGATGGTAGGCATATGTCCAGACAAACAGCAGCTGGGTCCTCTCTTTCCAATGACGGACGGCACTCCATGATTTCCCCCTGACAGGTTACAGGAGTGTAGTGTGTCACCTCCCGGGATAATGTTAGGGCAACAGGTTCTTTGCAAAGGTCACTGGAGGTGGTGTCCCCTCATCATTTCATATGGGTCACGGTATCCATGAAAGCTGATTTCGATATCTGGGTGGTTTTTCTCCATGAGTTTAATGGGCAGGTCTTTTTTCGGGATTCAGCAGTTTTGGGGCTTACGTTTTGGGGCAATGGTGTGCAGGAGCATGGCCAGAGGAATTGAAGGCTAGCACTCTTATTCGCAATTTAGCTTTTCTAGAGCTATTTCCCCTAGTGCTAGCATTAGGTCGGATTGATATGGGGTAAAATGTTTAGTACAGGGAAAATAGGTTTGGTAGGTTCGGGCTCATTGGTAGCTCAGAACCTGGGCATGTAGGGGTATCTCGGTATACCCCTACAATTGTGGAACTGTGAAAATGGATGCCCTTGGTGGCAATGGTTATGTGTTCAACGTTAATTATATGGTGTTATAATGTTGTTGGGATTTATTGTTTATGTAAGATTGGGTCATTGTCGGGGGGTTTAATTGTATAAAGGAGGGATGCAGGATTTAAATGTTAATGTTGGCATGGTGTTGACAATGACCTTAATTTTACTTGTTAAAACTTCTTCTCAATGAAAGCTGTGCTAATTTTTAACAAAAAAAATATGGTGTCAGTGTTTTTATGGGGATTGGTGTTGGCTTTAAGCATATGCCACAGAGGCGACTATGCACATGTCATGTAAAATACGTTTCCTGTGAACTGTGTAGGGACCCTTAGAGGAAGAAGCAGACCAATCATGTAGCTCTGTCCTGTAAAATGCATTGTCTCTCAGTGAAAGATGCAGTCCTATCATGTATGATTAATAAAGTTTCTCGGTGAAAGAAACAAGTCGGTCCTGTGAAATGCATAACATCCATCAGAGGAAGAAGCATAGCTTTCTTGTTAAATGTGCAGTCTCTTCCAGAAAGAAGCTGTAAAATGTGTTGACTTTTAGTAAAAGAAAGAGGCCTATCCTGTGAAATGTGTTGAGACCCTCACAGGAAATGGCAGTCCTATCATGTGAAATGTGTTGAGACCCTCACAGGAAATGGCAGTCCTATCATGTGAAATGTGTTGAGACCCACACAGGAAATGGCAGTCCTATCATGTGAAATGTTTTGAGACCCTGACAGGAAATGGCAGTCCTATCCTGTGAAATGTTTTGAGACCCTCACAGGAAATGGCAGTCCTATCATGTGAAATGTGTTGAGACCCTCACAGGAAATGGCAGTCCTATCATGTGAAATGTTTTGAGACCCTCACAGGAAATGGCAGTCCTATCTTGTGAAATGTGTTGAGACCCTCACAGGAAATGGCAGTCCTATCTTGTGAAATGTGTTGAGACCCTCACAGGAAATGGCAGTCCTATCATGTGAAATGTGTTGAGACCCTCACAGGAAATGGCAGTCCTATCATGTGAAATGTTTTGAGACCCTCACAGGAAATGGCAGTCCAACCATGTGAAATGTGTTGAGACCCTCACAGGAAATGGCAGTCCTACTATGTGAAATGTGTTGAGACCCTCACAGGAAATGGCAGTCCTATCTTGTGAAATGTGTTGAGACCCTCACAGGAAATGGCAGTCCTATCATGTGAAATGTGTTGAGACCCTCACAGGAAATGGCAGTCCTATCATGTGAAATGTGTTGAGACCCTCACAGGAAATGGCAGTCCAACCATGTGAAATGTGTTGAGACCCTCACAGGAAATGGCAGTCCTACTATGTGAAATGTGTTGAGACCCTCACAGGAAATGGCAGAAGGTTGCCTAACCTTGTTATGACCTAGTTTAAATGGGACAGTCGTAGATTGGTTGGTAGTTGGATGTTTTGTTCTTGTGAGTCTGAATGACGTATGTATGAATGTAGGCAGAGAACATGAATTTACTCAGATGAGCTTTCACTCTCTGAAGAATTCCAGGTTCAGAACCACAAATCCATAATTGTTCCTGTGTACATCTGTCTAAAATCCAGAAAATCAATATTTAAAATTATATAAATTTGTGGATGGCTGAAGGTTTAGCAGTTTCTATCATGGAAATTTGAACACAAAAATACCCAGAATATTGGCTGTTAATTTTTCTAAAACAAGAATATTGTCCAGGTTGGCTGAGTCCTCTACAAACTCTTCTAAAAATATAAAATTGAATTTCTAATTAAAATTACTTATGTTTGACTTGGTTTCATAAGTAATTTAAGGCCGTAAAAGTTCTATATTAAAAATAAATTTTAACGTCGGTATGGAATTCATTCTCATTTTCGATAGAGGTATTTTATATGTATATCTTGGGTTCCCTGGGGAAAATGCAGATTAAAGCAAAATGTGCTAATTCTTGCAAATCCAACGTGATTAACTAATTCACCACCTTTCTTTACAATTTAAAATATATAAGCATAAAATTTTTTGCATGCAAGAGAAACTGATTTAACATCTAAATTTTATTTTGTGGGATAGGGGCCTGACTGCCATGCTGAACAGTCGTATGGGAGAGCCGCTCCAGTAACCTTATGATTTTCAACCTAAGAAAGCTGAACTTGCCCCCACCTGGCAACTAGAAGCTGGGGTCCTAGACACAAGGGGGTACTGGCTCCGAGGAGAGGCTTGCACGCAAATGAGGCCTAATTGGGCGGTGAGTAGAGTGGACGGCTGATACCCTGCTATCCTGCCTGACTGTACCATGCTAGACTCCCAGCACTATGTGAACCTGGCCCCGTCCCACCCATCTGAGGCCCCTACCACTACTGCGACTCTGCAGCCCCACGGTACCATCATCCTTTGGCATCAACCACAAGTTTTCTATAAAATGGCTGAAGCAGTGCATCAGGCAACCTTCTCCAGGGAGGCCGCTGAATTTCCCTCCTCGCAAGATGAAATCTTCCTGGAGCTGTGGCAGAAACGTCTGAAGCATACCTTTAACTCCCTCTGTGTGAAGCTTGCTGTTAGGCTGCAACCCTTGACCCCTTCTGTCCTGGCCGCCCACACTCCTCAAGGTTACACACTGGAAACGGAGAAGGGGGAGAAATGCAGTGGGGTACTATTCCGCAGCAGCATGACATCTTGGCTTCCAACTGGGATCCAACACGGCAGAGCCATGAGCTACCCCAGAGGGGCATAGGCTAAAAGGGGACTGTGACTCTTGCTACCATATACACATCTGTGCAGATACCCATATTTTGCCTGATGATTTCTAAGTTTATGATAATATGTGGTTCTGATCTCTAATTGGGGCCTTGCTCTCTAACAACCTACTACAGGGGCCTTGGGGGTGTACTTACACTCTATTCCATGTCAGTTAGTATAACCTGATTTCTCTGCTTTTCTCCCAATTCTCTACTGACATATTCATCAGCGTGTTAACAAACCATGTTCTTACTTAAAAGCTAACAGATATACTTAGCATGTTTATCTGTCACTACCAAAAAAAGAAATGAGGCTGATCTATGTAGGTGTATAACTCTATGCTATCTTATGCTGTGTTTTCTTGTTATACTAACTTTATCATTTGCTGTACCGTATAAATCACATGCCTCAATAAAATTAAGAATTATGAAAAAAAAAAAAATATATATATATATATACAGGGAGTGCAGAATTATTAGGCAAATGAGTATTTTGACCACATCATCCTCTTTATGCATGTTGTCTTACTCCAAACTGTATAGGCTCGAAAGCCTACTACCAATTAAGCATATTAGGTGATGTGCATCTCTGTAATGAGAAGGGTGTGGTCTAATGACATCAACACCCTATATCAGGTGTGCATAATTATTAGGCAACTTCCTTTCCTTTGGCAAAATGGGTCAAAAGAAGGACTTGACAGGCTCAGAAAAGTCAAAAATAGTGAGATATCTTGCAGAGGGATGCAGCACTCTTAAAATTGCAAAGCTTCTGAAGCGTGATTATCGAACAATCAAGCGTTTCATTCAAAATAGTCAACAGGGTCGCAAGAAGCGTGTGGAAAAACCAAGGCGCAAAATAACTACCCATGAACTGAGAAAAGTCAAGCGTGCAGCTGCCACGATGCCACTTGCCACCAGTTTGGCCATATTTCAGAGCTGCAACATCACTGGAGTGCCCAAAAGCACAAGGTGTGCAATACTCAGAGACATGGCCAAGGTAAGAAAGGCTGAAAGACGACCACCACTGAACAAGACACACAAGCTGAAACGTCAAGACTGGGCCAAGAAATATCTCAAGACTGATTTTTCTAAGGTTTTATGGACTGATGAAATGAGAGTGAGTCTTGATGGGCCAGATGGATGGGCCCGTGGCTGGATTGGTAAAGGGCAGAGAGCTCCAGTCCGATTCAGACGCCAGCAAGGTGGAGGTGGAGTACTGGTTTGGGCTGGTATCATCAAAGATGAGCTTGTGGGGCCTTTTCGGGTTGAGGATGGAGTCAAGCTCAACTACCAGTCCTACTACCAGTTCCTGGAAGACACCTTCTTCAAGCAGTGGTTCAGGAAGAAGTCTGCATCCTTCAAGAAAAACATGATTTTCATGCAGGACAATGCTCCATCACATTCGTCCAAGTACTCCACAGCGTGGCTGGCAAGAAAGGGTATAAAAGAAGAAAATCTAATGACATGGCCTCCTTGTTCACCTGATCTGAACCCCATTGAGAACCTGTGGTCCATCATCAAATGTGAGATTTACAAGGAGGGAAAACAGTACACCTCTCTGAACAGTGTCTGGGAGGCTGTGGTTGCTGCTGCACGCAATGTTGATGGTGAACAGATCAAAACACTGACAGAATCCATGGATGGCAGGCTTTTGAGTGTCCTTGCAAAGAAAGGTGGCTATATTGGTCACTGATTTGTTTTTGTTTTTGAATGTCAGAAATGTATATTTGTGAATGTTGAGATGTTATATTGGTTTCACTGGTAATAATAAATAATTGAAATGGGTATATATTTGTTTTTTGTTAAGTTGCCTAATAATTATGCACAGTAATAGTCACCTGCACACACAGATATCCCCCTAACATAGCTAAAACTAAAAACAAACTAAAAACTACTTCCAAAAATATTCAGCTTTGATATTAATGAGTTTTTTGGGTTCATTGAGAACATGGTTGTTGTTCAATAATAAAATTAATCCTCAAAAATACAACTTGCCTAATAATTCTGCACTCCCTGTATATAGGATACTTTGCTTCTGTGCACCTTATATATTTTAACATATTGCACTTTTAGACCCTCTCTGCTTTATTTTATATGCTGGAGTCGTACTGGACACATAAAATTGTGGATCTACATGTATCCCAAGATGGGGATTGTACCATCAAAGAGCTAAACAGCAGAGCTCTCAGTAGCTCATAAAAGTGTGAGTGAGACACCTATATAGTTAACTGTCTGTAAAACCATTTAAGACATATTACACTATTTTTTGTTGTATTTCGGTTTTATTTTGAGGTTTTCTTGGTACCGAAATACAAAATCACTTTACTCCAGAGAGAGTATTATGTACGTATATACATCATTTATTACACATTATTGGGTTATTGTTAAGATTGAGCATACCCGTATGATTGTTTATCATCTGTTCTGTATCTTACGCAAGGTTTGGGAATCCTTGTAGATTTACTGCTGCCTTTTCACATCATAGCGAGCGCCTACACCTGCCTTTTTTCTGTACATTTTTTTTTTATATATAAAATATTTTTTTAAATATATTTTTGCAGTGCATAAGAGCGGTACATACATGCCTGAGATACCTCGATGGCAGTCCTCAAGCAACAGATCATGCTTTACCATTAGGGTGATAGAGTAAACATGTATTAGAAGTCCCAACTCAAATATGGTGTGAAAGTGTGCAAAAGCTGAGAGTTTTATTGGTACAAAGTGGCATTTAGACTTAATCCTATTTTCCATGTCATGGAATAAGCCTCAGACATACAACTGCAATTTCCTCCATGCATTTTTCATGGGTTTCTCATGCAAATGATGCAGACGGCTCAGGAAAAGCATCGTGTGCTCCACAGGATTTTTCTAATAGCAAAGAGAAAATATTGAGCCAAGCTCAAAGCAGTCTACCGCTCAGAGCTCTACGAAGATACAATGATTCCCATAAAACTGTGTCTAAAAAGTGGGTCACGTCTCCAAATTCATAGCTGTGTGATCACTCTGACTGGCCTACATTGTGCATTCTTGCTTTTTACCACTTATTTTGCCATAGAACCCACTTATGTGGTGAACACGTCTGCCACGTCTAACAATGTATAGCCACACGTTCATTCTCAGTGCTCGATACTCTGTAGCCTTGATTGCTTTGCTTAATGGGAAAGCTGTACATATCCCATATTGTTTAGCAAAGGTTTATGGGACAGTTCAGCACTGTGTATCCCATATGCAAGTAATTAAATTCATGAAAAGATATCGATAAAACTACTCCGCAGGCTAAAAAAAAGCAACAAAGTGGATTCTATTAATACAACTAATAAATGAATTCATGATTTTTCATGACCAATCCTACAAAAAGCTGTGAAGAGCTACAGGGGAGGACAAACCAGTCACTTAAAACTAACAGCATTTAATACCGTACAAGAGCTTGTATGGAAATTGGGCCAGACAAAAATGGTATAACATACTATAACCACTGAAAGAAGCACCGGTTGTTACATTGACTGGACTTCCCCTTTACATTTTAAAATTTCAATACATTTTCAACATTACACAAAACACATGAATGACATAATATCCCAACATAAATTGGTAGAAAGAATGATATGCCTATAAGAAGAGCAGAGACATTCATTTAAAGAGAAGTTTGACTGCCAGAAGCACATTCTATAGTTTGTGGTTTATGGGCTGCCAAAAAGATTTTAGAACAGGTTTTACTTAATTTAATAAGATATAAGTATTTCTGTTCAGGGATATCTGAATATCTGTGTAATTACACAGCTTCTCTTAAAGAAAAGGTAACAAATAAAATACTTATTTTTCAAGACATCATTTTCAATATCTTCGGAGAGAATGTGCTTGGACTATTTGTAAATTTAACTTTACTTTGTTTTTATACAGAACTTACTACTAGAGCAGAGCCAGAGACTATGCCAGAGACTTATCAAAAAGTGGTACAAAGTTTTAAAATTGGAGCAATCGCCAATGAACAATAACATCGAACTCTAAGACAGAATCTCTAACACGGATCTCTAACAGAGAACACTAACACAAAACACTAATATAGAAATTCTAACACAAAACACTAACATGGAAACTCTGACAAAAACACTAACACAAAACACTAACATGGAAACTCTGACACGGAACTCTAACAGAAAACAATAACATGGAAACTCTAACACGGAACTCTAACAGAAAACAATAACATGGAAACTCTAACAGAGAACACCAACATAGAATTTCTAACATAAAACACTAACATGGAAACTCTGACAAAAATACTAACACAAAACAATAACATAGACACTCTAATACAGAAAAAACTCTAACACAGAACACTAACATAGAACACTAACACGGAAACACTAACACAGAACACTAACATAGAACATGACCATGGAAACTGTAACACAGAACACTAACATAGAACACTAACATGGAAACTCTAACACAGGACACTAACATAGAACACGACCATGGAAACTGTAACACAGAACACTAACATTGTAACATAGAACTCTTACACAGACCACTAGTATAGGAACACTAACACAGAACTCCGAACTATCAGCTAAAATAAAACAAATTCTAACAAAGGCCTTGATTTAATAATATGATATGTTTGGATAAACTTTTAAAATAATTTTTTAAAAATGTAAAAAAATTTTTAAATATCATACATAAAAATATATTAAAAATATCAAAATATGACAACATTTTTATATTTTTCATAATATTAAATAATTAGAAACGTTTATCTAAATATGAACTCGTATGTAGAAAGAAACTCTAATATAAAAACCCCAACATACAACACAGAAACTCTTTAAAATAATTTTAACATATAAACTCTATCATAGAATTGTTAACAAAATAAACGTTATCAATGATACATAAAGTCGTATATTAAACCAATATAGAAACTCAAAGCTCTAGCATTCAAGACTTTAACACAGAGCACTAACGAGGAAACGAAATCTGTTACGAGGCCCAA